GGATACGATGACATGCATCAACCAAGTCAGCGAGCCTGACCACCAGATCCCGTTAGTTGCCTCGTGCAACAAGCACAGTCACCTTGTACAGCAAGTATGGGTTGCTGAAGACCATTTCTTACCCGGATCTTCACGGTTGCACCATGATGAACACATCAAGATATCAGCACAATGTCAGCAGGTGTCACAGGTGTCAGCAGGTGTCAGTGCGGTTTGATCCTGCTATGGGAGATGAGTGTTTCTTTCCTCTGCCCAAGCCTGGGGCAAGGATTATGAGATCAGCACCTGTTTTATCCCGTATCTATCTGCACTACAGAAACTGACAAGCATCAGCAGCGGAAATAATCTTACTCAGGACAGTAAATATCTACTATCCACCACTAATGATGCTAACATTTTGGTTGGCAGTGAACTGACAACCAATGGACTGGTTTAATATCTTAACCTCATAAGGTTGTTAGATCATCATCATCATCATTGCATCATTGCATCATTGCATCATAGTCTCGGCAAAATGCAAACAAAATTTTGAAAAGGATATGTAATTATAGCCTGAGCTGGTTTTTCAACAGAAAAGTAGCAAAGATCACAAAACAGATGTGTTGAAAGAGCACATATGTTACAATCCCTCCATCATTTGCCAGCATGCCATGAAATGCACATGGATGGAATGTTATGTCAACAAAGTGTGACCTCAGCAGGTAAGTGCAATTGACGACAGCCTGATTCCAAGATTGACATTTGCTATTGATGACACACTGCAGCAGCCAGTTTCACTGCAGAGAAACGATTACCTGAATAAGATGATTACTTTATCCCGGCAATTACAACATGTAAGAGAGAGAACTGAACGAACCACAAATCAACAGCAAAATCAACCTTTGTTCCTGGAGAGACAAAGCCCGGACTTGTCCCCAAACCCACAATGGTCTAAGCGTCTTACTTGATTGAGTGACACAGACAAGCATTGATACCCATTGTCATTTGCATAAATCACATCCATGAGCTGTAAACCATGTGGAAACTGAATAAGCCATATCACTTTCAATGATCCAATCGTACATCAGTTAATTTTATACTTTCTAATCATTCTGAGGATTAATGTCTCAAAATGATGGAAATCTGGGACTAATTCTGATAAACTATTCTTTAAGTTGAGCTATAAAATTAATCTTCACTATCACTAAATTCATCACTGATCTTTTTTCAGTAAGGTATTAAATGGTGTGTGGATGGCAGTTAGTCAACAGTTGGTATGATATATGGCTTTTATACAAAAAATGGAATTAGTTTCGAAACGGTTTAGCAACTAAGGTTCATATACTTAAAAATTATTTTAAAACTCAATTGAGGATTTTTTAAAATACACATTCAAACATGTATATATTTTAGAATTTATTATGGATATAAAGAGGAATAGAAATGTTACATAGGTTCTTTAAGAAATACTACATATTGATATCAAAAATGCTACATATAGAAAATAAGTTTACAGAATAAATACAGTCACAGATATTTGTTTATGTATTTAAAATTGCCTAAATGTGTTTTACTGATATATTGTTTAATGTCATTTTACTTTATGATGATCTTTTAAAAATATACTGAAAACATTATTTATTACAACAAATATGAAAAGACAATGGTCATTGCAGGAGCACTCAGTGGTAGAAAAAGATACATCTCATTTCCTCGGAATAAACATGTTCAGTATCAAAACAAAGATTGTAAAAAACAGATTGAGCATACACTCAAATCATATATATATAGTTTAATCAAAGCCTTCAATTAACGTTTTGGTAAAGCAGTTATGAGATGTAGATAAATACACACAAAAAATGGCAATCTAGCCTTGCTATATGCACTTTGTTATCAAATGATTCTTTCATCGTAATCAAGCCCGTTATGGCACTAATTGTTGGTTATATATCCATTTGTGATAAATAATTTCATACAAAACACACTTTTAGCCGATCTAGTGCTAATAAGTCCTGATGCTGGTAATACAGCTGATGTCAACATTTGGTATAATTTCTATCAAACACGTCAAATTATGTTGAGGAGAAGCAATTTATTTCAAATGCATTAATGATATCATAATCCTTGTCAATAACCACCTTATATAGTCTCTATTGGTACTACTCCTTGAAGACAGTATTTTCAAGGATACGTTTATAAATTATTGGAAATGTAAGGTTACAAACCTAACAATTCTTTGTGTATATGGTATGTGGATTATGGGCAACAAATAAAAGCCACTCAGTTGTAGACACAAACACATGAGACGAGTAATGAAGTATGTTTTAAAGATTAAGAAAATTATTCTCTTAAATGGGTAATTTTCAATTTGCATTTGTAATGATATCAAATATGAAGTTACCCCTGCCTAATAGAAATGCACATTTGGACCATATCATCCATTCAGAAAGATCTGTATGTTAAATAGATGCTCCAATGTAGAAATGCACATGAATTTCGCATGAAACAGGTGCATATACTATTTGTCAATTTTCTAGCAGGGCGAATTGCAACTACTTAAATCATATCTGTACACAAATCATATGGAAAACTAAAACAGGTATGAAACATATAAAATATTAACAAAATGCATACATGAATATAAATATTATTTGTCCTTAACAAAACAGGATAAATATAATTAGATACTCTAACAAATTGAAAAAAAAAATTGTGGTGACAACAAAGAATCTATTTAGATGTTAGAAATGAAATCTGTTTTGATGAAGATACAGTTTACAAAACAATTATTTCATGTTTTGTTTTCTCAGCTTATTTATTAATCTCTTATTTGAAATAAGAAACAACTTTTCTTTTCACTTCCCAAATTATCATTAAATTTAAAGTTTTCAAAAGCTTTTAACTAAAATTAAAAGAACATATTAAATTAGAGTATTAGCTGAAATTAAATCACGGCAATGTATTAACAGGGAACAATCAACAAACTCAGAGTAAATTATTCATGTGTGAAAAAACTCAGCAGTAATTTATGGAAAACAATATTAACAGACAATATACGAACACGGAGACATTGATTAACAATTTTGTTTTGGAACATCAATCTCTTGATATCTTCTGATCATTAGAGAAACTATTTAGTGCTCACATATGCAAGGTAAAATTGTTAAATTCATAAATATTTTCCTTTTGATATGTGAAATGACACTAGCTCTGCGGTCCGCCAATCAAGCATCACCACCACATCTTTGAAGTATGGCCTCGGGCTACCTTCTCCATTGCTGCGCTTTGGCTGTTGTCATTAAATTAATCAAACTAATCATTTGTGAGTGATAACAATCTGAGCGTTATACACGTCAAGATGATAATTATATGATGTCCCACACTCTGACATAGGGAAAAAAGCAGGTGAAATCAACAACGGAAGGTGTACTTTTATCACATTTGCCGTATTGTCTATTTCACATCAACAGGAATTAAGATCCATCACGTTCTATGTCAATTTTCCATTTGTATCTTTGTTAAAAAATATAGGTGAAAAATATAATTAACAAATTAATGTTTATGGTGTAATATTGTGTATGTTTATTGACAGTAAGCCCAATGTTACATTGTTGTACAGTTTGGCACACTCTAACACATCCATCATGGAATCAAATGAAGAATATCCAACAAGAAAAATTCAATTCAGAAATTTAAAAGAATGTGTCTTTAATGTTCCTTTAATTTCTGTGATGACATTTATTGATCAGAGTGAACATAGATTTGCTTTAGTTAATATACCATGCCTTTATTGTTTTGTTGAATTGGAAAAGGGTGAAAAAACAAAATATACATAGATGAAATGTATGGAAAATTATTTTATCTTTCAGTCATTTTGTATAAATTTTATTTCACTAAAAACATTTATTAAAAATATTAATTACAATATTCTCAGACAAAGAGACATTAAAAAATCATAACGGATAAAACTATTTTAATATATATCTCCACAAATCTCCATACACTATTGCAAAATAAATTATCATTGATTGTAAAAATAAATACTGTAAAGAAAAAAAATTAACACAATGTCTTTCGAAAACTAAAAAAATATTAAAATGAGTAAATCTAAGAAAATTATGTGTTTGTTTACTGTTAGTTTCTGGTAATGACAGAGAAGAACCATTTCTTTTAAAATCAGACACATTTGTTCTAAAAGTATAACACATAATAACAGCAGTACTTTGTGGTAGAGAAGGAAACTAGTCACACAGAAGAAAACAGTTCACTTCTTGAGCCTCTCAATACCCCACCTGGGAGTACGTCCCACAGGCAGCTACAGATTTCAGTGTATCACACAGTCTACATGGCAAACATCAAAATGTTTGAACAAAAATCCTACAATAGTTTAGAGTATACCTAATACCTAAATGAAACATTCAAAGATCGTAAATACTGTTTGACAGTTGGTTTTATTTGACATCCATGTGATGAACTTCTAAACAAGAAGGAATTACCGCTAGTTGTTATATACAATTTATATGTATATATGTAGTTAAAAATTACTAAAAATATTTTCATACCATTTTCTGTGAATTAAATAACTGTAATAAAAAAAAATCGGGATGACCAAATGGATATAAGATTGATAAAATATATTTTTGATGATATTAACAGTCTCATTTTTGTAACATCCTGGATATATTACAAACTACAGTCTCCCAAACCATTTCCAAAAAATGTCATAGTTGAGCAGTGTGATTTTACATCAAAAGTATACATGCAGTTTTTATACAAACTCTCACTCATGTAAAACTCATAATTATTATTAAAAGAAACAAAGTTAAATGGCAAACAATTCATGAAACATCCTCCGAATTGAACTCTGTCAACAGCCTAACGAACCCTTTAATTCTGCCGGGGCAAGCAGACATAGATAAACATGCTATAATAACTAATAACTGATCCAGTCATGCAACCCTCCAGCATGCAGAACAAGTATCCAAACATGGCGTCGATTGTCCTAATGTTTTGGTACCTACCTTTTGACGGTTCTCCTGCGGCGCTTAGTTGCATACATTGTTTTGATGACCCAGTCTTCCACCATTAATTGTTGGAGGAACTATTCCAAGATGTTCTACTTGTCAGCTGCTCAAGTCACACCAATCTTGACTGAATATATCCACATTCACATCTCAATTTTTTCCGAAAAACCCCCATAACAGTATAGCACTGCTTCTCTGTCCATGACACCAATCCCAAACAACAATCAGGAGATGCCAAGCATAGCCACACTCAACCTAGCAATAAATTAGCTTCCGAAACCAAAAATGGCCAAGTAGATAGTTATGATTCATATAGTGTTGGAAGCACCATGCTTTCACCCATGAACCGTCAGCCACGCGACCCGTCACTTTAATCAGTAGAGGCGGCTTGAAAAGCCTGGCTCCGCCCACCTCACTACGACTGACCAATCTCCTGCTGGGGCAGCCAATCACCCTCGTCAGTTCTCTTTGAACAACTCCTCTACAAAAACTAGCATCAGGCAACGAGGGCAGAGTGTCTTGCGCTCTGTGTGTATCGAGAGCGACAAATTGGACCTCAACTGCACCTTTTGTCTACGTGTGACAGTCCTTGCAGAAGGGAGAAATGCAATCGGGCAATAAAGATGGCTTGACAAAAGCATGGGTGAGCAGAGGCAGGCAATGGACCATGCCCTCCCATGTTTCTGTCTGTCATAGGGGTGGATTCTAGCAAGTGCCTCATTATAAAGACATTACCTTCCACAAGCAATGGGACAGTTTTGTAATCCGCGCTCAAGTACTACTGATGAGACGCGTTACAGAAAGAGCCAGTATTATAATATTGGGGATTGTAAAGGAAATCGTATGTTGGACAAGCACTCCACTTGATAAAGACGTCAGTCTTTTGTCACGGTATTCATAACATGTGAAGGGGTTGTCACTTTCACAATGACACACAAGTGTCTTGCTGAGCTCATGCATTTCACACACTATCAAACTCAGTTTAACAATATCAATATATACACAACAATACCACAGACATTGAATGCGGAAATGTGGATGATCTATCAATGATAAATCAACAAATTTTTTGGGGTCGAACATATCCTTACTTTACAACCTTTTGCAGCCATTTGAATATTTATTGGCCACATACTTGGAATAAATTCCAATTCTACGTGGAGAAATAAAAAATAGTTGTTATGAAATATTGATACATTCATAAAACACAATCCTCTCTTTCAGACCTTTACCAAACTGAACATGATTTTTTTGTGATATCAATTTATAAATTTTATAAGGCATCCATAAATTTGGAATAAAAAAAAAATGGTCAGTAGAACAAATGTGAATGATTTGTGATTTGGTAAATGAAACTTTACCCCTTTTTTCACGAAATAGTTAAAGAAGTTTTCAGAAGAACATAGTGTGTTTTCACTTATCTCAGTGGATGCATCAATGCATATAAGTAAAGGTAATTTATGCATAGAAGTGAACAGTTTACACAAAAGAGGAAAGACACTGAAGTGAAAAGTTCAGGGAATCTTAATTACATAAAACTGTGACACTAAGCCTTGCAGAGGGGATGTTGTGTAAGTTTTGAGTCACAACAAACATGGAAGGTACAGATATAGTGTTGATGTAAAAACCTACTTCAACAATTTTAGGTCATGGGTAGTTTCACTGTTGAAATATCATAAATATATGTGTGATTTTCATGATAAGAGAAAACCTAATAATTACCATACCTTGTGAGGCCTACCGGTAGCATCACACTATTTACATAAAAAAGTAAGTGTTTGTTTGTTCCGTGCCGTACGCCACACAGCAGTACTCCTGCCATGGGATGGTGGCCTGTAAGCAAACCATTCAAGGCATCTGTGTACATTAAGTATCAAACCTTGGATTGCATGAAGCAGTAATGTTTGCAAGTTTCACATGTACAGTAAGAAGGGAACACATATAAATTGTCTTCATCTGTAGGTACTTGGAGACTTTAAAATTATGTGAGGTACAGGGATGAAATTGAAAAATAAATTTATTGTGGCCGTATATTATGACCTTGAAATAGTCTCTTTCGGCTGACCGCCTGCTTTCATTCATTGGTAAGATGTACATCCATCCATGTTGCAAAAGCATGGTTTCCAAATATAATTCCCACAGTTACAGGACTGGTTGGGGCTTTAGGATTTACAAATACAGATATGGTTTCAAATACACAGATTTTCAAAGTAAGGACATTCAGTTGGCATTCAAAAAAATTATTTTTCAGTGTTTGTCTTCACTTTGAGTAAGTCAATAAAATGGTCAGGGTTGGCATTTAACAAAAACAGGTTTGATCTGTCATGATAACAGAATCAAAACATTTAATGCAGAATCTTATTTTACTCATCTAAGATTGAAAAATACTAATATTTCCTTCATTTCAGTACATGTATTCAGCGAACATCTAATTTCAAATTGTAAACCATGATTACTTTCAACAGCCATATAAAGTAAAGGGACAAGAGTTTATTCTACTGACCAAAAGGTGTCAACTTCACCATTTTGTATCATTTCCTGGACGCTTCAAACATTTTGATTTGGAAAACTGCAATCTCAAGAGAAGAACTGAAACACTACCTGTAATACAATCTCTATCTGTTTCATAAAGTACTTTCAAAACTTGACATCACCATACAGTCTATAATACTTGCTAAAAATAGTACCAGTGGTAATACCAAAGTCTTTCTGTAAGGCTACTAACTGTAGGTTCTATAAGGCTACACAATGGTAAATATTCACCTCTGTTGATAATACTTGATACTCACCAACTTTTCAAATACAGCTGCCTAACAGTTTGATAGATTCTACATATTGTTTGTCACGGACATCAACCAACTACCCTGTGAGGTGTTCATGTTATTCAAAGATGGATGTATCATCCCATATCTGGAAGCACTGTCACATAGGTTGTATGTTTTATAATAGTTATCTGCATATTTCAAACTGATGGTGTAGTGAACCCTACCTGAACCCCACCTGAACTGTCTTAATAAAGTAAATAAACATTTGAACAGGTTCACATACCACTGGTAGGAAATATATAAAACAACACAAAAACAGCTGACCTAAGAACTGAAATAAAAAATACCATTTCCACTGGACAGACTGAAAACAGTATATAAAACATAACAGCAAATTCCATTGTCAGCAACGTACAACATGATAATGACGTGATGTCGACAGCTGACATGATGGAAGTGGAAATGGCTATATATTGGGGAAGAAGGGTTTGCTAAGTAAACCGACCACTGAAGTTGCTATGTTCCACAGTATGTATCACATGATACAAAACAATATATGGGATTGTGAATATCCTTTGACATTATATTGACATCATGTAAAGAGCTTAGGAGACTAGTAGACTGAGACTGCTGATCGCAATATATTCCCTGTCATCTACAAGTACAGGTAATCAGATTTCCAGGTACTGTCAACCATGCAGGCAGGTGCAATGTCCACTGTGATATTGACGAGCAATTGCAACCCCTACCTACCTGTCATTTAATTGGAATTAATGTAATTGATTAGATACTCACAATAGGAGAAGTCATCAAGGGTAAATAATTCAGGCATGAAAAATCTGTCATCCACAGATCTGGATAACTTAATTACAGGATGGCTTCAGTGTCCTGTTGGAAAAGGTTAAATCTCCGGATTATGGTTTGATTCTGTGTGAATGGAGTTTAACAACAGACTTGGGTACAATTTCATAAACTCTGCAGGGTAAACAATCAAAATAGGAAATATATTACATCAACACATCAAGAGATGTTACACCAACACCTAGATATGATACACTGACATCTAGATATGATACATCAACATCTAGATATGACACACCAACATCTACATATGATGTACCAACATCTAGATATCATACACTGACATCTAGATATGATACACCAACATCTAGTTATGACACACCAACATCTAGACATGACACACCAACATCTAGATATGATACATCAACATCTAGATATGATACATCAACATCTAGATGTGATACACCAACATCTAGATATGATCAACAACATCTAGATATGATACACTGATATCTAGATATGATACATCAACATCTAGATATGACACACCAACACCAAGATATGATACACCAACATCTAGATGTGATACGCCAACATCTAGATATGATACACCAACATCTAGATATGACACACCACCATCTACATATGACACACCAACATCTAGATATGACACACCACCATCTATATATGACACACCAACATCTAGATATGATACACCAACATCTACATATGATACACCAACATCTAGATATGATACACTAACATCTAGATATGATGTACCAACATCTACATATGACACATCAACATCTAGATATGACACACCATCTAGATATGACACACCAACATCTAGATAGGATACACCAACATCTACATATGACACACCACCATCTACATATGACGCACCAACATCTAGATATGATACACCAACATCTAGATATGACACACCAACACCAAGACATCATACACCAACACCTAGATATGATACACCAACACCTAGATATTATAAATCAACATCTAGATTATGACACACCAACATCTAGATATGACACACCAACATCTAGATATGATACACCACCATCTACATATGACACACCAACATCTAGATATGATACACCAACACCAAGATATGACACACCAACATCTAGATATGATACACCACCATCTACATATGACACACCAACATCTAGATATGATACACCAACACCAAGATATGACACACCAACATCTAGATATGATACACCACCATCTACATATGACACACCAACACCTAGATATGATACACCAACACCTAGATATTATAAATCAACATCTAGATATGACACACCAACATCTAGATATGACACACCAACAACTAGATATGACACACAAACACCTAGATATGATAAACCAACATCTACATATGATACACCAACATCTACATATGATACACCAACATCTACATATGATGTACCAACATCTAGATATCATACACTGACATCTAGATACGATACACCAACACCTAGATATGATACACCAACATCTAGACATGACACACCAACATCTAGATATGAAACACCAAAATCTAGATATGATACATCAACATCTAGATACGATACATCAACATCTAGATATGATACACTGATATCTAGATATGATACACCAACATCGAGATATGATACATCAACATCTAGATATGATACATCATCATCTAGATATGATACATCAACACCTAGATATGATACACCAACATCTAGACATGACACACCAACATCTAGATATGAAACACCAAAATCTAGATATGATACATCAACATCTAGATATGATACACTGATATCTAGATATGATACACCAACACCTAGATATGATACATCAACATCTAGATATGATACATCATCATCTAGATATGATACATCAACATCTAGATATGATACACCAACATCTAGATATGATACATCAACTTCTAGATATGATACACCAACATCTAGATATGATAAACTAACATCTACATATGACACAACAACATCTAGATATGATACACCAACACCAAGATATGTCACACCAACATCTAGATATGACACACCAACATCTAGATATGACACACCAACATCTAGATATGACACACCAACATCTAGATATGACACACCAACATCTACATATGATGTACCAACATCTACATATGACACATCAACATCTAGATATGACACACCAACATCTAGATATGACACATCAACATCTAGATATGACACACCAACATCTAGATATGACACACCAACATCTAGATATGACACACCAACATCTAGATATGACACACCAACATCTAGATATGATACACCAACATCGAGATATGATACACCAACATCTACATATGATGTACCAACATCTACATATGACACACCAAAATCTAGATATGATATACCAACATCGAGATATGATACACCAACATCTACATATGACACACCAAATTCTAGATATGATATACCAACATCTAGATATGACACACCAAAATCTAGATATGATATACCAACATCGAGATATGATACACCAACATCTACATATGACACACCAAAATCTAGATATGACACACCAACACCAAGATATGACACACCAACATCTAGATATGACACACCAACATCTAGATATGACACACCAACATCTAGATATGACACACCAACATCGAGATATGATACACCAACATCGAGATATGACACACCAACATCTACATATGATGTACCAACATCTACATATGACACATCAACATCTAGATATGACACACCAACATCTAGATATGACACACAAACATCTAGATATGACACACCAACATCTAGATATGATGTACCAACATCTACATATGACACACCAACATCTACATATGACACACCAACATCTAGATATGACACACCAACATCTACATATGATGTACCAACATTTACATATGACACATCAACATCTAGATATTACACACCAACATCTACATATGACACACCAACATCTACATATGACACACCAAAATCTAGATATGATATACCAACATCTAGATATGATACACCAACATCTACATATGACACACCAACATCTAGATATGATATACCAACATCTAGATATGATATACCAACATCTAGATATGATACACCAACATCTAGATATGACACACCAACATCTAGATATGATACACCAACATCTACATATGACACACCAACATCTAGATATGACACACCAACATCTAGATATGATACACCAACATCTAGATATGACACACCAACATCTACATATGACACATCAACATCTAGATATGACACACCAACATCTAGATATGACACACCAACATCTAGATATGACACACCAACATCTAGATATGACACACCAACATCTACATATGATGTACCAACATCTAGATATGACACACCAACATCTAGATATGACACACCAACATCTAGATATGACACACCAACATCTACATATGACACACCAACATCTAGTTATGACACACCAATGCCTAGATATGATACACCAACATCTACATATGATACACCAACATCTAGATATGACACACCAAAATCTAGATATGATATACCAACATCGAGATATGATACACCAACATCTACATATGACACACCAAAATCTAGATATGATATACCAACATCTAGATATGACACACCAAAATCTAGATATGATATACCAACATCGAGATATGATACACCAACATCTACATATGACACACCAAAATCTAGATATGATATACCAACATCTAGATATGATACACCAACATCTAGATGTGATACACCAACATCTATATATGATACACCAACATCTAGATATGACACACCAACATCTAGATATGATACACCAACATCTATATATGATACACCAACATCTAGATATGATACACCAACATCTACATATGATGTACCAACATCTGTACTTGATATGAAAGGACAGAATGTTAATGTTTTTAATTTCTCAAACATACAATCAAAACTGGGTTCCACCTGAAGTAAAGTAAACACCAGCACACTTGTCAACAAGATGTTTGAGTTATTTTCTTCTGAATCAATGCAATGTTGCATGAGAACAATCAAAGTTATTTATGACAGATTAGCTCTTTATGACAGATAATACTATTGAACTTGTAACAGCAGTTTGGATGGTTGACTGTATTGTGCATGTAGATGTACCCATAATGTACAATCAGTAGCTTCATGATTAGTAGAAAAATTCTTAAAAGAGAATTTCCAAGTTGTTTCTATGGAAACAAAAAAATAAGAAAATAAAAAAATAAAAAAATAAAAAAATATGAAAAGACAAAAGTTGAGCAAGTGGTCATTGCACATGTTAAGTTTCATTTAAAAATAATCCTTAGTTTAGTAGTCATGCCTCAGAAATGAAGATTACAGTTGTTTAAGACTTAGTCCAAATTGTTTCCAGGGTAATGTAACAAAATAAAATTTAGAAAAAAGTTAAAATAGCAAAAGGCAACAGCTAAGCTGATGAGCAAGGCATATACCACGTTTTGCTGAAAAATGTTGAAAGGTTTTCAAGTTATAGCCCAGAAACTACCCCTACCCCTGTTTGAGACTTTATCAATATTAATTCTGTGTAACCATAAGAAAATAACATTTTAAAAAAATTCAAAATAGTTAAATGCAACAGTTAAACTGATGAGCAATGCATATGCCAAGTTTTGTTCAAAATATTGATTGCTGACGCCAACGGTAATTGAGCCAAAAACAATATGTCTCTCCTCCCTTGGTAGGAGGAGACATAATTCACAGGACCATTTTCCAAAGTGTGCTCAGACAGTCACAAATGTTATTAAAATAGGTTTGATTCCAAACATACTAAGCTGGGACTTGGCCACAAATCTCAACTACAAAGGAAACAAAATGAGAGTGAAAAATCAGTAAAAAATGCAGGATAGTATTTTGCAAGTATCTGTTATCCAAAAGTTTACTTTTCTCACATTTCCTTAAAAAAGTTTCTTTTAAATAACTTAATTTGTAGAAATGTAAGAAAAGGTGTAACACTGGAAGAAAGACTTGGCTGGGGTTTTCTGCCACCAAAAGGCTCCGTGATCATCATGAGAAGCTCACAGTCAATCACCTCAATCTCTAACTTAACTATAATGACCTGCAATTATCCTTGGACAAAGCACCCCTACGGTCAGCAGGCGCGGTCACTGAGCCAGGACACTGACCACAATGCACCACTGGTCCGTGCAGCAGCTGACCAGAACAAGCCTGGACAGTGAATCATTATCCATGACCAATTGAGCACAAGCTGTACATGACTTGAGATAACATCAGTCTTGGCATGATCAGGTTGGGAATTGAGGAATTAAGAACTTAAAGAGTTTACTTCCATGGCTTCTTTCTTTAAGATTAATTATACTTGTCCAATAGCATAATAGCAGAGTATGTAACAGTTATACAAATACTGGCTTGTATACCAAAAAATGAAATGAGAGATTAAGACAGAAGGACTTTATGCCTCCATTAGCCATTTTAGTCATAATCAAGGAGGGAAAGTTAGATAAACATCAGGCACTTTAATCCATGTAAGAACGCTAATAAATCCATCAAGGGTCTTGACTGAGTCACTGTAACTGGATTTTGTCTTGAGATTTGATATTTTTCGTCTATAGCTGCAAAACCAGAAATGTTTTATATTAAAACTATGAGCCTGAATGTTTCTTTAAGAAAAGCACATTGCAAATATGTAAGTTTTGTCGCAGAAAAATAAGTTTTTGTTCAACAGTCTGAAGCATAATTATTTTCTTCTTGAATTTTGGAGGACAAAATATGTTTTTCTATAAAATCTCGGAGTAACTGTCTAGTGGACCAGTGTAATTGTCTAGTGGACCAGTGTATGTGTCTAGTGGACATGTGTATTTGTCTAGTGGACCAGTGTATGTGTCTAGTGGACATGTGTAATTGTCTTGTGGACCAGTGTATGTGTCTAGTGGACCAGTGTATGTGTCTTGTGGACCAGTGTATGTGTCTGGTGGAGCAGTGTATGTGTCTAGTGGACCAGTGTATGTGTCAAGTGGACATGTGTATTTGTCTAGTGGACCAGTGTATGTGTCTGGTGGACCAGTGTATGTGTCTGGTGGAGCAGTGTATGTGTCTAGTGGACCAGTGTATGTGTCTGGTGGACATGTGTATTTGTCTAGTGGACCAGTGTATGTGTCTAGTGGACCAGTGTATGTGTCTAGTGGACCAGTGTATGTGTCTTGTGGACCAGTGTATGTGTCTAGTGGACATGTGTATGTGTCTTGTGGACATGTGTATTTGTCTAGTGGACCAGTGTATGTGTCTAGTGGACATGTGTATGTGTCTGGTGGACCAGTGTATGTGTCTAGTGGACCAGTGTATGTGTCTAGTGGACCAGTGTTTGTGTCTTGTGGACATGTGTATTTGTCTAGTGGACCAGTGTATGTGTCTAGTGGACCAGTGTATGTGTCTTGTGGACATGTGTATTTGTCTGGTGGACCAGTGTAATTGTCTAGTGGACCAGTGTATGTGTCTAGTGGACCAGTGTATGTGTCTGGTGGACCAGTGTATGTGTCTTGTGGACATGTGTATTTGTCTAGTGGACCAGTGTATGTGTCTAGTGGACATGTGTATGTGTCTGGTGGACATGTGTATGTGTCTTGTGGACATGTGTATTTGTCTAGTGGACCAGTGTATGTGTCTGGTGGACCAGTGTATGTGTCTAGTGGACATGTGTATTTGTCTAGTGGACCAGTGTATGTGTCTAGTGGACATGTGTATTTGTCTAGTGGACCAGTGTATGTGTCTAGTGGACATGTGTATTTGTCTAGCAGACCAGTGTATGTGTCTAGTGGACCAGTGTATTTGTCTAGCGGACCAGTGTATGTGTCTAGTGGACCAGTGTCTGTGTCTAGTGGACATGTGTATGTGTCTTGTGGACATGTGTATTTGTCTAGTGGACCAGTGTATGTGTCTAGTGGACATGTGTATTTGTCTAGTGGACCAGTGTATGTGTCTAGTGGACATGTGTATTTGTCTAGCGGACCAGTGTATGTGTCTAGTGGACCAGTGTATGTGTCTAGTGGACCAGTGTATGTGTCTAGTGGACCAGTGTATGTGTCTTGTGGACATGTGTATTTGTCTAGTGGACCAGTGTATGTGTCTAGTGGACCAGTGTATGTGTCTGGTGGACCAGTGTATGTGTCTGGTGGACCAGTGTATGTGTCTAGTGGACCAGTGTATTTGTCTAGTGGACCAGTGTATGTGTCTAGTGGACCAGTGTATGTGTCTGGTGGACCAGTGTATGTGTCTGGTGGACATGTGTATGTGTCTAGCGGACCAGTGTATGTGTCTAGTGGACAAGTGTATTTGTTCAGTGGACCAGTGTATGTGTCTAGTGGGCCAGTGTAATTGTCTAGTGGACCAGTGTATGTGTCTTGTGGACCAGTGTATGTGTCTTGTGGACCAGTGTATGTGTCTAGTGGACAAGTGTATGTGTCTAGTGGACCAGTGTATGTGTCTAGTGGACCAGTGTATGTGTCTTGTGGACCAGTGTATGTGTCTAGCGGACCAGTGTATGTGTCTGGTGGATCAGTGCATTTGTCTAGTGGGCCAGTGTACTTGTCTAGTGGACATGTGTATTTGTCTTGTGGACCAGTGTATTTGTCTAGTGGAGCAGTGTATGTGTCTTGTGGACCAGTGTATGTGTCTGGTGGACCAGTGTATGTGTCTGGTGGACCAGTGTATGTGTCTGGTGGACCAGTGTATGTGTCTGGTGGAGCAGTGTATGTGTCTGGTGGACCAGTGTATGTGTCTTGTGGACCAGTGTATGTGTCTGGTGGACCAGTGTATTTGTCTAGTGGAGCAGTGTATGTGTCTTGTGGACCAGTGTATGTGTCTAGTGGACCAGTGTATGTGTCTGGTGGACCAGTGTATGTGTCTTGTGGACCAGTGTATGTGTCTGGTGGACCAGTGTATTTGTCTAGTGGAGCAGTGTATGTGTCTTGTGGACCAGTGTATGTGTCTTGTGGACCAGTGTATGTGTCTAGTGGACAAGTGTATGTGTCTAGTGGACCAGTGTATGTGTCTTGTGGACCAGTGTATGTGTCTAGCGGACCAGTGTATGTGTCTGGTGGATCAGTGCATTTGTCTAGTGGGCCAGTGTACTTGTCTAGTGGACATGTGTATTTGTCTTGTGGACCAGTGTATTTGTCTAGTGGAGCAGTGTATGTGTCTTGTGGACCAGTGTATGTGTCTGGTGGACCAGTGTATGTGTCTGGTGGACCAGTGTATGTGTCTGGTGGACCAGTGTATGTGTCTAGTGGGCCAGTGTATGTGTCTAGTGGACCAGTGTATGTGTCTTGTGGACCAGTGTATGTGTCTTGTGGACCAGTGTATTTGTCTAGTGGAGCAGTGTATGTGTCTAGTGGACCAGTGTATGTGTCTTGTGGACCAGTGTATGTGTCTGGTGGACCAGTGTATGTGTCTGGTGGACCAGTGTATGTGTCTGGTGGACCAGTGTATGTGTCTTGTGGACCAGTGTATGTGTCTGGTGGACCAGTGTATGTGTCTAGTGGACCAGTGTACTTGTCTTGTGGACCAGTGTATGTGTCTGGTGGACCAGTGTATGTGTCTTGTGGACCAGTGTATGTGTCTGGTGGACATGTGTATGTGTCTAGTGGACCAGTGTATGTGTCTGGTGGACCAGTGTATGTGTCTGGTGGACCAGTGTATGTGTCTGGTGGACCAGTGTATGTGTCTTGTGGACCAGCGTATGTATCTGGTGGACCAGTGTATGTGTCTGGTGGACCAGTGTATGTGTCTAGTGGACCAGTGTATGTGTCTGGTGGACCAGTGTATGTGTCTTGTGGACCAGTGTATTTGTCTAGTGGAGCAGTGTATGTGTCTAGTGGACAAGTGTATGTGTCTAGTGGACCAGTGTATGTGTCTAGTGGACAAGTGTATGTGTCTAGTGGACCAGTGTATGTGTCTTGTGGACCAGTG